CTCATTGACATTTTAAATTAGACTTGACATGGCATTAGCAAGTAACAGACTCATGACCTTTAAGGTGTGTCTAATACACCATTAAATCCACAGTTATAAATGGTAGTAAGTCATTAATATACGGTCAATAAAGGGCCAAGCGCCTAGATAGCATCATGGTTACACTAAACTTATGGGTTTGTTTGCAATTTGATGACCTAAATTGAGCAAATTAATTACTAACTTAAATTTATTAAATATACATCAATGTTTTGACCATTAATAAAGCATTAATTACTGTTTAAGAACCTATTAGGGCTTATGTAAAAGCGGTGCCACCACGTGAATTAATTTTCCCACAATGAAAGCTTAGATTAATGATGAGAAATAGACATTTTAATCAACCACACCAGTGGCGATGGATGTCAGTCCTTGTGGGGGTTAACCACTGGTCCAGACTGAAATCTCTCAGCATCTATTGGATGGATGGCCATGACATTTAATAAGACATTCATGGCCCCCCTCAGGATGAATTTTATTAACTTTGGTTATTGACTTTTCCCTTTGTGCAGTCATCAGGCCAAAATTGAAATTTGTCCACGCTTATGCCCAAAAACTTGCAAGATCCCCGTCGGTTTAGTCGACTGTTACTGAGATTATGAGCAGCGTAAACATTGCATCTGCATGTCATTGTGAGCATGTTAGCATTTAGCTCAAAGCCCCGCTGTGCCTAATTTCAGCCTCTCAGAGCTGCTGGCACCGCTGCATACTTTAAGTTGTGCTTTTTTTTCCGATTTAATTTATGTGTGTTCCAGATACATTTAACATGACATCTTTTGAATCATCTCCCGATCGCGTCGGATCGATAATATGTAAAGTGACAGAGAACGTAGGAGGCAGACTGAGACAACATTCAGCAACAAACTTTGTTGTGACCTCTATACCTGGCCTGTTTTGAATATGGATGATGCCTCAAGTCACCAGTGATCTTTCATGGATGAAACGACGATGGAGTCGTGTGTGACAGCTGACATGTTTGAATGGTCGGATATGATGCTCAGACCTTGAAAGAATGAATTTAAAAGCATGCTTCCCCCCTTCACCGACACACACATACCCACGCGTTCATTCACATTCACCTTTACTTACTTCTCCGCTCACACCTGCTGTGCTTTGTCTGGGTTCATTGCTCAGTAATAGTGAGTGACAAGTTTCGACGGGGTAAGAGAAACACAAGCAGCAGCAGCAGTTGGAAATAGTGATTTGACAAATTCGAGACCTACATTCAGCAAAATCTACTCTGGTTTGCTTTGATCAGATCAGTGGCAGGCAGCGAGGACTGTCTCTCATGGGAAAACAAGATAAACTCTCCGGGGAGTTTCAACTACAAAGCTCAGACATTGTCTGTGTGTGCACATGTCCTCTTTCTACCAATGTCTGTCCATGTATGTTTGATTATCTGTGTTTGACATTGTAGCACTGTGTCCACAAGGAGACATATTTGTGTCCCATCCAAGCAGGTGGCCGTAAACAAACAGAAGCAGCTTCGACAGCGGATGACTGGCAGGGAAGGAAACACACAAAAGAGTGACGCCACAATCATCTATTTCTCTCCTTCCTTCCTATTTGATTGTCTGCTTGTTGGTTCAGATCCCTGCTGGACTGTTTGTCATTCGCGCAAACACCTCCAAGCACACAGGACAACAAATACTCCCAAGGAATTTCGCTGCAAAAACAGCCTCTCGGAGGGTTTGTTTTACTTTTAATGATGCCCACACTATAGAGCTTGGTGGGAGTTTACTCCCACTGTCTGCTCATGCCTCTGCCCCGGACTATTCCCTCGCATCAGACAGCCAGTGATGGATGGCTTAATTAAGGTGAAAGACAATGAGTGAGTGCTTTTCATTGTGTTTGGTCTCAGTGGTTTGTGACAAAAAATGGATTACTCTTTTAAAATGGGTCTCCTTGGGGAAATGTCACATATATCATTTAAACACATCTATCTGGTCCGAGTGAAATAACATACACATGTGTACATCTGTGGCATATAGATCTATCAGTCAGAAGGAAAACAGTCCATTCCATCCACCTGGTTATTTTATTAATTTACTCACATTAGGACCTCATCAAACACCTTGTGTAGACACACACAGACCACCATTGTTGTGTCAGGAATACATTACCCACACACAGCCAAGCACATGTTATGCCCACACAACCTTCCGGTGCCATTATGTTCTGCCTCTATCCCCTCCCCACCCACTCACACATACACAAACACACTTCTTTTTTTTTCTCCTTCTTATCTGACAAGTCTATTGAAGTTACACCAGACAAAGATGTTATTCTGAAGGAATCCCATCTTAGCAGGATCAATCAGAAATTCGGACTAAAAATTGATACCCCAAAGATCTGCTGACCCAGAAAGAAATTAGATTTTAGGTATAATGTGCTCCCTGAATACAAATTAACACTCAAGGGTGAAATTTTATAAAGTCTCCAATAGACATCAAAAGAGCCTGAAATTGAATGCGATGTGAGAGGATGCATCTCATCATCAAACTAAAGTTCAAGATCCACCGGCAGCATTAAATGCAGTGTACGAGGTAGGCTACACTGGATGCGTGTCATTTGAGGACACTGTGAACTATATCATCCACTGTACCAATGACAAAACCGCCTATTGGTGCAGCATGACGGTGTTGGAGGACATTTTTTACGACCACTAACCAACTAATTTTGTTTCCATCACCTGCAAACTTCAAATAAATCCGTGATATCTTTGTGACATCAGCCAGCAAAACAGTTTTTCTTTGATTAGCTCACCTTGTCTGCAATGCCGGCAAGAAGGATTTCACTTTCTATCCATGTTTCGGCAAAGGAGTGCTGGATACCACCTGCCTGGGTGCTACATACTTTCAGCTGTGATGGCAATGACCTGCTATTACAGATTCCTCCAGCTGTGTTGCTGCAGCTACGGGGAAGTATTTTCATATAGGTTATATATTGCTGGGCATGGGAGGAAGAAAATAAATAAACCAGGAAAATTCCCAAACCTACCGATCTCCAGTCTGTGCCTGACGACAACAGAGAGGATGTTAAAATCAGAGGCAGTTCCTCTCTTTAACAGACTAGTTGGTAGCAAGCTCTCCCCCACATGAGCCGGTAGAAAGAGATGCTTTGATGATGTGTGCCGCCCTTGGGAACTAGAAGAAAAGATAATTCAATATAATCATTTATCAACTTTGAGTGGAATTATACTGTGCAGATATAATCTTATTATGTTGTCATTTTTCAGATTCGTAACGTCCAAATTAATGAATGTGAGTGAAGCCGGAATTAAAAAAAACTAACAACATATGTTATTGGAGATCAAGGACAAGCTCACCAACTGTTTTGCATACAGGTTTGGTCTCACTGTCGTGTGCCGTCGATGTTTTCTTGCATCGTTTGCTGCGCCGTCCTCACATCCCAGCCTCCCCTTGTTGTTACACAGCAGCGAGCTGCACCCACACAAGCTAAGCTATCCTAACAAACCAAGAAGTGCACTAGAAATCTTTGAAAAGTTCATCCAAGGCTGAGGTCCAAGAAACACACATTGATAAAGCACCGTTGTGACTGGGGTTGCATACCGCAGCTGTAAGAGTATATTGTTATTTACAGCCGTAGCCTGTGGGGGGAAGCTGCTGCAGGGATCGGCAGCAGGTCACATGGGAGCTGCCCAGCACACCCGCAGCCTTGAGCTGCCGGACAGTGCGTAGCTCCAGGGTAGCAAATGCCTTGTTTAAGGGCGCTACCATGCTAATTATCCAGCAAGGGAGGGTCACAACTTAGCTGCATTAGAGCTTCTTGCTGCCCTAGATTTTTTTGTTCTTTACTCCTCCGTCTTTCAATTATTCCTTCTCCCCCCCCCCAGTTTTTCCATTCTCCTCTTCCCGACCAACTCCTTTACCCCCCTGTCTCAGCTTCCTTTCTCCCCTCTCCATCTGTATTATCCTTTAAATAATTCCCTCTGTATTGAGTCAGATTTCTATGTTTTATTTTTTTCCCCCCCATCTGAAGGCCTTGAAGCTCTAGTTCCTGGCAGGGCTTGTTTTTGCGCCAGTGCTCCATCCCTCTCTTTGTTTTCTGCCTTTTTCCTCTGCTGTCAAGAGATTCTGCTGCTTTTTCTTCTCAGTGACTCCACGCGGGATTACAGTCCTCCCACGTTTGATCTGCTGCCAAGAGACATGTGCGATGTGCGCGCGCCTCTTTTCGGACTACGTATCTGACCATTTGTATCCACCTCTGTCCCTGTCATGTCGCTCGTCACACTAACACCCACTGCTCCAGTCAGACTTGTTATACAATGGGCTTTCTCTGCACATGCGAGCGCCGGCTCAATGCGAGATTACAGCATTTGTTTACACCTCCACAAAACAACAGGTTTGACATGTGTAGCCGGTGCTGATCATCAGCATGGACGGATGTATGCGCAGTACATATTGTGCAGGGCTGCAAAGAAGAAGAAAAAAAAAAACTATTTCCATCATTGTTTTCCCCCTGCATCCTTCCTCTGCAGTCATGCTACATTATACAACATACTGTACATGCACCAGCTTCCCCCTTTGATGAATTTGGTTTACGTTCTCCCCAGGCAAAACCTCCACACACATCAATTCGCTGTCACATGCATGAAACTTTATTTATGAAAAGTTGTGGCGGCAGTGCTGTGAACATTTGTCCTTCTTGCTGTGCAGGATGTAAACTCTGCTTTGAAAATTGCAAAAATAACAGCTGACATTTTGTAAGGAGCTGGGTGGGGAAAAGTGCCCCCCTCCCTCACTGACAACACATTGTTGCCCTTGAGAAAGGCCCTTTGTCATGACCCCCTAGGCCAGGGGTGGGCAATCCTGGTCCCCGAGGGCCACAATCCTGCATGTTTTAGATGTTTCCTTCTTCCAACACACCTGATTCAAATGATCAGGATCGTTATCAGGCTTCTGCAGAGCTTGATGATGATCCTGATCATTTGAATCTTCTCCCTCTCTGCCCCTGTGCATCTCAGCACTAATCAGGACAACCACCCACAGCTGCAGCTCTGGACTCACCTGCCCACAATCACCACAGCTCCTATAAAAGCCTCTGTTCTTTGCACCACAAGCTTCCAGACCATTCCTCCTGCATGGTTCTGCCATTCTCTGCTCTGTCTCCAGCCTACATTCCCCCAGCCTGGGTTCCCTGAGTCTGTCTGCCCCCTTTCGTTCTGTGTCTGTGTCCACACCTGGGTTCTCAGACCCCCCCTCCTCCATGACACCCTTAGCCTCACCTGCTCCATGTGGAGCTGCTCTGCGGCCTGCAGGTCGGACTGTTGTTGTACCGAGCAGCTTCCAGGTGTTAATGTGTGTGTTGGTGTGATCAGAGAGGTTACGCTGCGATCACGCGACAGAATTTATCAAATCCTAACTGATTCTGGAACTGATTTTACTAAAAAATGGCACATCTTGCACTATATGGGGCAAATCGGAGCAGTGCACCACCTCATGTGATGTCATGTGGAAATGCATGTGATGCAACACAAATAACACTTTGCATGGGGATTAAAAGAAAAGCAGGATAAATAACAAGTCTGGATGAGAAAATCGCTGAGTTTTAATATCTCTTGCTAATGCTAGCCTTTAGCGCTAATATGCTTTGCATGGCTTGGCAACAGCATTCACTGTTCTGGGTGCTAATTGTAGCCATTCACACTTTAACTGCAAAATGTCAGTCACGTTACTGTGAAAAATACTACAAAAAGTAAATTTAGAAAGTGTCCACCAGAGTTGTTCACTGTACATACGAGATTCAAAGACATAAAGTCACACTGAATCTTATAAGGAAGTTTGGAGAAGAGTTAGGGTTCAGCTTGTCCGTTCCACCAGCGAAGCACTCCAAGGCCTCCACAACATTATTTGTGTGGGCCTTCGACAAAAAAGGGCCTCCTGTGCGCTCCAAAGCATCAAGGTCAGCCTGGCCACCTGATACAAACAAGAGTGGATGAGAGACACACCTCTACAGAAAACAAGAGAGCACAGGAAATGTGCAAAAGAATAATATATAGTGTCAGCAGTGAAATAATAGGGAAACCAGTGACATGAAATAGTGAATTTCCATCACAAATAAAAGGTTCCAGACCAGATTTTTGCTCGTAGAAGAGGTGAAACGGGGATAAAACAGTCCAAAAGAAAAGCGGTTAAATGGAAGAAATGAACAACAATTGAAACATCACCCAAATTTAGCTTCTTTAAAAAACTACAGACTCGTTCCTTTGTCTTTCCTCATCCCCTTCAAACTACGAATATCTCTACAAAACGTGATGCCGATGCGACTGACACGACACCACCGCCGCCCCTCGAGCCGTACCACCCGACGGAAGGAGAGGGGGGAGGTGAATGTTTCAGGTGCCGGCGAGATGATGAAACAAGATCCGGTGATGCCGCGCGAGTTATAGATTGTTTGTCTCCAAGGCTTATCGGGCGCCACAACTCTGCAGAGTGGTGCGTAATGCGATTAGACAACATTTGACATTTTACAACGCTGCAGTTATCAGCAACGGCAAACATTTCATCCCGCTTCCCAACAAACTCTGGGACGGAGTGTCAAAATACGCCAGACAAAAAAAAGCAACACACGTGTGATTGACAAAACGCTACATGCCAATTTTTGCCTGATTTTATTATTCGTCTCTTCTGTTTGATTTAACTGCGCTGACAAGGGCTTATTGAATGGGCTGTATTCTTTACCACCGTCTAGACACAGCCTTAATCATCAACTAATTCCTTGTTTGTTTTTGCCTTTTCACTCCCAACTATTATTTAGCTGAGATACATGACCGTGAAAAAAAATTACTGTTTAAGCTGAAGGCAGAATCTTTGAAAGCACTGTTTCAATATAACCATCCATCATTGTCAGTTTTTTTTTTCTCTCTCTCCCTCCTCCAAACAATTACCAAAAGAAACAAAAAAAAACATAAAAATCTGTCCTCCTACATTTAGACAATGACCGACTTTTTTTCCCTTCTGTGTATCACTTCACTCCTGTGCAGGCCTCAGGCGGCACCCACGTCTCCCCCAATATACACCCTCTCCTCACTTCGGCGTGACATAGGTGACACAGCTACGGGCGCTTAATGTTTTAAAAAGGCGCAGCTCCGCCCGTGGCTCTCTCCAACGCCGCTCTTTCCGTCAGATATTCACCGCGGTCCCGCTTCTGTCTTTTACACGCTCTGAGCTAAAGGGTCTGCCACGGCAGCATGACGCAACGACAGTATGTTAGTTTTCATCACTGGGGAGCAGCCGTCCTCGTATGACTCTTTTCGACATGCTGCTGGTCGCGCAGGCCTCTCGCTTGTCAGGATAACGCACCGTATAGCGCCGCGGCAGTGGGAAACCGAGCCACTGTTTGACTCTCCGGCTGTGACACAACACGCCGCGCCGTTTGATTTATTCCAGCTCGTCTCCCTGCATGTTGTCACTCAGGACGGGGCATGACTTGTCGCCCCGTCGGCAAAGAGAGGCTGGAAGATGCGGCTGGTAACGGGCGAAGGATGTGTCACTTTCAAGTTGGGATGTGAGTAAGCGCACGTGTGAATTTGAATTTGTGGGAGGTAAAGACAGGTGTGATGGATTTAATTTGTAGGGAGGGAAGTGTATGGACTGTATGGCAAGGTTTGAGTGGGTTGTGGATATTCAGACCCAAGTTTGGAGTAAAAATGGCTTCCAGGTAAAGTCATTAAAAGATGAGACGATAGCGTTTAAAGTGAAGATCAACTTTATGCGTCTTTCTAGAACAGTGGATGCTGACACAAGACCTGTGTAAATGCAATAGAGTGAAAATATTACTGTCAAACAACCAATAAGCAACTAATTTACATATATGAATGAATGAATATTCAGTTTTTCTGTCTGTTTGCATTAGAAGTTGTTTTTTTGTGCACTTTTTTTGTAATTTTATAACTATATATATATTTGTGACAGATCAGAAACAACTTTGTGCCTTAAAGCACTTTGACTTTAAATGTTTGTTTTTAATTGATGAACCAGAGAAATGTCCAAACCTGTGTTCTCTACAAAATGTCCAACAACAACAACAAAAATAAATCCTTGCAAATAGAACTTCTCTACAGTCTTTTCATCTACACACTTAAAGATGATCAGAAAAACACAATTTTATCCATAATCGTTGCTGTAATACGTTCGGTTCTAATACTTAAAATGAAAAAACCGGTTTAGATTACTAAGGGTGCCACAATCTTGAGCTTGATTTTACACAACTAAAGACTTTCGAATATGAACTCATGCAAAAAAGGCTCAAATTCATAATTTAACGTTTATAAAAATAAACAGAAATGCAAGAAATTCCTGTTTTGATGCTCAAATTTCTGAAGACAGCGGCTTAATGTTTGTATTAAATCTACGCTGCTACGACTAGAAGTCCACTCAGAGAACACAGACCTTCATCTCTCAGGTTTAAAGAAAGTCAAGTTTTAATGTTCTGACTTTGTTTAGGCTCCACATTTACAGCAAGTGTCATTAAATTCATCCAGTTGGTTTTGAAATTATGTAAAATCACCATCTCATTTCTATGATTAACATTCACTTCTAGGTCTAAGTTTACATTAGATCATGTGTATATTTTGGACTTTTAATGCTTAATAAATGACATTTTACATTTGTAATTGTATTTATTATTTAATATATAATAATAACAATTTTATAGTAGGATTACCAATGCGTATAACTAATAAAATCAAATTTATTCAACATTTATCTTATTCATGTTGCCCCTCATTTCTCATTTAGCAAATGAATACTACAGAACCAGTGCTTCGTTTTCCTGTTGTTACCATTTGTGTCTAATTTTCTAAAAATATGTGCAGCATCACACTCGGATTTAACAGTTTCATCTAATGAATAAAAATGGAATATGTGTGAAATCATGAATCATAAATGCATTTTAACAGTCTTCTGTCATAAAAAAACTAAGAAAGTGGAAATTCTCCTGGCTATTTAAAGCTGAAGGTTTTTACTGGTTGTTTACATTAGACATGTGCATTGTTCATTTTTGTAATTTCAGCAATATTTTCATAGATTTTGACAATACAAACATAAAAGTAATACTGTACACCAACCTGTACTTTGAGCCTTCTTCTATGACTTGTAACATGCCTCAACAATTAGCCTCCTTTAGCTGCACAACCATAGGCTGATCTCATTTCACTCATTTCTTTGTCTCCGTCCTGACCCAGAAATCTCTGCTGGTGCATTATCATGACAAAGAGTGTCTCAATTCCTAAAATGCATCTTAAGGAGAGAGGATCGAGGAGGCTTGTTGGTGGAGCTGCTGTGAGTGATGTATCTAGACTCCTCTGGTGGGAGGAACTAAAACAAGAACAGAGGAGTCGAGGAAAGAGGTTGAGGAAGTACAATTAGTAAAATGAGATAAGAGGCCTGTGGTGCGGCATAAAAAGGAGGCATTTGTCCACTTTAATGGCAAACCTATCTCAACTTTGAGGCGATAAATTAATCAAAACAGGTGGCAGTAATGTAAGTGATAGGGGATATAATTCAGACGGACATCGATCCAGACCGAGCTCCCAGGAGACGGGGTAAAAACAGGGAGGAATTCCTTCAAAAGTCCTGCAGTCAGAACCCGGCTTAAGCCTGCGGATGTTAAAAGCCGAGGTTAATGGCGCTAATAGATCTGGTTCCTGTCCTCCACTTTGACTCCGCTGTTGATTATGGTTTAGTTTGATGACAGGCCTCTCGGTTTGAAGAGAAGATCTGCTCACTGAAGCAACTTGATCTGCTCACTGGAGCGGCTGATCAATTGATCGGCGCTGTAGCTGAGCAGCAGCAGCACTCTGCCTACCGGCCAACACAGCCTGCTTACCTTTCAGACAATAAATATTGACTGGACTCGCATTCATTTAAAAAAAAAAAAAAAGGGACATTTTAAGACAGTACAAGTCTTGGATTTTGATGGAGACGGACACTTACTCGATACCTGCAGTGTTGGTTACAAATGGCTTCCAGTTATTTTCTTCCTAAATGTCAAGAATCCATCTGTGGAAGGACGCAGCGTATTTTTTGGGGGCATCATGTCTGGTTCTGCGCTGTACCATGTGACAGTCGTGT